CACACACACACAGTGTTTTTTTGCATCACTTCAGAGGACATTACACTGACTTTTCTTCTTTTCCTGAAGACTTGACCCAAACTGCGCCCCAACTACTGCGATCATCAGTTTATCCTACATCCTTACACTAAAATCTAATGACCTGTTTTTTAAAATCTCAAAACGGAGGCGAGTCCCCGTAATATAAACAGCTCTACATATGTCCCCACAACATAAGTAATGCAAGTGCAAATACACACATACACAGAGTAAGTACACAGCCTAAGGGAAGAGATGGCATGAAGTTGCACTCAAAGCTGTGACATCTTTTTGAACTTTAACTTATCTAGGCTTTTGTTTACATGGGTACTCCTTATTTCTGCACCACCCTGCTGTGCATGCATAATTTCAAACTGCTTTCTATGCCTGAAAAGATGGAAATGCATGCCAAAACACAGAAATAGCAAATCGAAAGGGACAAAGGCATAATGACAAAAATCAGCCAGCTCATACAATATGCATAAAATATAATGTGACAGATTAAAAGAAAATGGCCTCAACATCTTGCAAAACATTGGCATACCCAGCAGAAAGACTCAGATGCCCCAACAAGATGAAAAACGGGTCATTCTGTTCTTTCACACTCGTCTCAACAGAAACGGCGATCACTGCCGGGCAGACGCTGGCATCATTTCAGGGTCCTTTTTGAAATGGAATTTAATCAGAAACAGCTATTGTTGTTCAGGACTATGTGCAAAGAAATGGCTCAATCACTCAACAGGATTAGCCATATAACAATTTGTCATGCTAATTTTGCTGCTACCAGCACTAAACTTCATGCTGAAACTAAGCTGTCTCTTAAAGTACAGCAAGGTAGTGGTTCCCAAGTTTTATCTTTTATCTGACATACCCCCAAACCCTGTCAGGCAGACTCAAACCACTCTCACCTCACCAGTTACTCAAAGCATTTAGCTTACCATTTCTGAATGATGACCATTTAGGTATAGGTATAGTCTCCATTTAAACACTACTCATTATGTGCAGGGACCACTTCCAATCGCTTATTTTAGCTAACAATTTCAATGTATACTTTTAATCTAGCAATTTTACTTATTAATTTATACTTTTGGCTATTTTAACCATTTTGCTTGTAGTTACGTCTAGCTAATGAATTGCAACTTTTTATCAATCATTTCAGCAAACTAGTTCAGTATATTTCTACATACTCTATATAGAATTAAGTTTAACTGCTTGCCATACAGTTTCCTTATAAACAATCATTCATTATTATATATTTTTCTATTTTCTAATTTGCAATTTCAGTAATTTATCTGGACTATTTTCTATTATTTCATCTGGTAATTAATAAAATTCGCAATTACTTTATTTGAATCCATGAAAGTGCTTTTATCTAGAGTCTCACTTTCTGCTGTTTATCAATGCTATCTTCTGATAAAAGCTGTTCAAATCCACCAAAAAACAAAAAACCCTAAATTACACTGCAATTTTGTTTTGTTTTTCATATTCACTGTGCAATTCTGTCCACGTACCACCTCGATACTGCAGAAGTATCTCCTTTAGCACTTGTATTGCAGCTTGCAAATCACCACATGAGGTACAAAGCTGTACTCTTTCTTTGCCACTTTCTGCTATAACAGTTATAGTTTTACCACATTTACACCAGTACTTGACCTTTGTCTTGAAACCCTCAAAGGCTTGCCTCCTCTCAAGTTCACACAGTAGCCACTGATTGCTGATGACTCAGACTGGAGACAGAGATATTTTCTCCCTCTACTAGGAGCTGTCACTCGATGTAGAATATCCCCCCCGCCAGGAAGTGACACCTCTGTGATGACCAATCATCAGCTGTCTCCCTGGTGATGATGGTGGTGTTGTCAAGGCAACCATCTCCTAGGGCAACAGACACCGGTGGCAACGTGGGACAAGACGATGAGTGAGAACAAAGTACCTGGGGTTTGCAGATTAGGGGGTGGGGGACACGTGCTGATGGCATCATCAGATGGGGGAAGGGTTCGATGGTGACACGTCCCTGTTGACCCCACATTAACACTGATGCTTTACTAGGGATGCTTTTGCTGTACAGCTAATTAAATGATTTCCCCTTTTTCACTCTAGAAGGAATTCATTTAAACGAAGCACTAATGTATTCATATATATAAACATATATTCATGTGGATTTACCACCACCTGCCTACTGCTTCCAGGTGGGAAGAATGTCAGTCCCCTGCTGTAATTAAGGAGATAATGCACCAAATGGCTGAACACAAACTAGATGAAGTCCCTGGTAACAGTGCGATTATTGCAGCCGCCCTCCTACTTTTTATTGCCTTCAAGGATCAGCAATAAACACCTGTCCTCCATGCTTGAACCCACACTACCACAAAGACTTTGAAACACGTAAATGTGAACTTCCATTCAAACCCTGAATGTGAATCATTGTACATGTGCCAAGCAGAGTGCTAAAGTTAGCATCACATGTAGTCAAACAGAAACACACACATTGGCAAAAAGAAAAACGTTCTGTTGTGGAAAAAAAAAAAAAAGCTCATATAGCTACACATGATGCTAAATGGAACTGGCTCACTTACTGCTGTGTTATATACAGTGGGATGCAAAAGTTTGGGCAACCTTGTTAATAGACATTATTTTCCTGTATAAATCGTTGGTTGTTACAATAAAAAATGTCAGTTAAATATATCATATAGGAGAAACACACAGTGATATTTGAGAAGTGAAATGAAGTTTATTGGATTTACAGAAAGTGTGCAATAATTGTTTAAACAAAATTTTGGCACTGTTGTCATTTTATTGATTCTAAAACCTTTAGAACTAATTATTGGACCTAAAATTGGCTTGGTAAGCTCAGTGACCCCTGACCTACATACACAGGTGAATCCAATAATGAGAAAGAGTATTTAAGGGGGTCAATTGTAAGTTTCCCTCCTCTTTTAATTTTCTCTGAAGAGTAGCAATATGGGGGTCTCAAAACAACTCTTCATTCTGGAATAAGGTGCTGTGGACTGATGAAACTAAAATAGAGTTATTTGGGCATAACAAGGGGTGTTATGCATGAAGGAAAAAGAACACAGCATTCCCAGAAAAACATCTACAGTGAAATATGGTGGTGGCTCCATCATGCTGTGGGGCTGTGTGGCCAGTGCAGGGACTGGGAATCTTGTCACAGTTGAGGGACACATGGATTCCACTCAGTATCAGCAGATTCTGGAGACCAATGTCCAGGAATCAGTGACAAAGCTGAAGCTGCGCCGGGGCTGGATCTTTCAACAAGACAACGACCCGAAACACTGCTCTCGATCCACTAAGGCATTCATGCAGAGGAACAAGTACAACGTTCTGGAATGGCCATCTTAGTCCACAGACCTGAATATTATTGAAAATCTGTGGTGTGAGTTAAAGAGAGCTGTCCATGCTCGGAAGCCATCAAACCTGAATGAACTAGAGATGTTTTGTAAAGAGGAATGGTCCAAAATACCTTCAACCACAATCCAGACTCTCATTGGAAGCTACAGGAAGCGTTTAGAGGCTGTAATTTCTGCCAATGGCGGATCTACTAAATATCGATTTCATTTCTTTTTTTGTGGTACCCAAATTTATGCACCTGCCTGATTTTGTTTCAACAATTATTGCACACTTTCTGTAAATCCAATAAACTTCATTTCACTTCTCAAATATCACTGTGTGTGTCTCCTATATGATATATTTAACTGACATTTTTTATTGTAACAACCAACAATTTATACAGGAAAATAATGTCTATTAACAAGGTTGCCCAAACCTTTGCATCCTACTGTATCTACTTTGGTGATATTACTAGAGTGCCCTCTAGAACATGAAGCCAAACTGCTGCCCTGTGTGTATATATAGTAATCAGAACAATAAAGAGTCCCAAAGGGAAACTAGAACTCCCCATTTCTGTTCCATAAGAAAACCTCACTCGCAATATCGCTGAATTTTCCCAATTATTTGACAATGGACTTAACATCATTTTTTGACATAAAAGACAAATCCATAGGCAAGAGAGTAGCTGGATTTAGTTCAAACATGTTTTTTCTAACAAGCTGACAAACAAGACTGTGTACTGTGGGCCTTTTTAGCTTACAGGTTTTTATTCCAAAACATCAGCCAATTTTACAGAGGAATTCTCTAAAATCCACGGGTGGAATTTTTTTCGCTGGAAGGACAATCTGCAGACCTTTGGACTGACACGGTGGGGGACAGCTTCAATACAGGAGGAAGGGGGTAAATCGCAGTGACAGTCCCTGCAGGCACTGGTTGTCTATTTGTCTTTGGCAAACTTACACTGACAGAGAAAACAACATGGCGGTAGACTATCAACCCGAGTCCAAGTCACAAAGCATTCCCAACTGCTGTGGGAAAATGCTTCCTGACACGACTGCTGGTTTACGACCTACCCGACTGCTTTGGCCATCTCAGTGGCTCGATAAAGACCAAACAAAACCAACAAGAATGGACAGAAAAGAAAAACACACAAAGGTGAAGGAAAAGGTGTGGGATAGGGTGAAGGTAAGGGTCTTAAAGGACATAAGGGCGGCGGGAAGTCGGGCACACACAAACACACAGGTGAAGGGCGGGTTAGGAGATAAATACCAGAGCGGGCGAAGGGATGTTTCCTTTGGGGCTGGTGACTATGCTGTTTTTGGTGCTGTTTGTCTGGGGCTGTGCAGGAAAGGAAAGGAAAGGTAAGGAAAAGGAGGAGACACAACAAGAGTGTTAACAGCAGCAAGAGGTGGGCTTGTGAGTGTGTGTCCATGCTTGTGCTCGTGTGTTTTTGGAATTAGCACATATATGTCTCTTTGACAGAATCAACTTTGAGGGTCTCACCTTAGTGGCTCTCATGTAAGGTAAAGAGTTAGGATTTGTCTTTTCATTCAGTAAAAACTCAATGCAACATTTTGATATTCAGAATTTATCTGCTGTTCTGTGTTACATTTATTTAATTTGTACCGTGCGGATCAGAGCAAAGTAGTAGGATACATGTAGGTGTGCATCCCAGTGAGGCCTGAAGGTGGCAGGCAGACGCAGCAACTGTGAAGGGATTATCCTAAAACGTTCACTCTCAAGACTGATCTGTAATTCTCAGGTGACACCACGGGCTGAGGGGTACTCTGACATCATCATGATGTCACAAGTGACTTCCCCTGCTTGGGATTCCACATCAAGACGTGCCGTTTGGCCGTAGTGAATCACCTTTAGAAGCCTGGATGAAATGCTCTTTTGAAGATCAAACATCAAAGAGCGGCCGGCTCTTTGGAGCGTAGATTGATCTAAATTATTTTTGCATTGAATCTACATTACATTTGTAATCCTGCTGGGGGGGAAATATCCAGTTTAAACCCTACAAAGGATCAAGCCCTGGGTGTGACAGTGAATAAGCTACAATTACGTCAATGGTAATTATGTGAGTTGATACAGTAAAATGCAAGCAATCTTGCTTGTAAGTGAAATTTCAAGAGGTCTTAAGTAATCAGAAGGATTACCTAATCCCCTATAAAGACTTGGCTAAGATATGGCATGATGTTGGTGCGCTGCCAAGCTAGTGAATGATTTCACCTAACATTAATTAGATAAGCACAATATATGAGAATTTAAAAGTGCACATTTTAAACAAGCCCAGAAGATTCAATAAAACAAAATGTTTGGTAATCTTGGTGCTGCAGCAGTGCTGAATCAGAGTGGCTGTAATGGTGACTCTTTAACACTGACTTTCAAGATGGAAAGATGAAGACTGATGTGTGTGTGGTTGTGGGTGTGTATGTTTACCATAATATGAATTTTTTAAGCCACTGGGCTTACTCAGAGGAGACGAGACGAGAGGAGAGGAGAGAGAAGAGGAGAGGATGCCAGCACACATATGGTGCGAAACCACCACATAATGCAAGCACGCACTACAGCAAGTAAAAGCTGGTGTTAGCTGACAATAAGCTGACATATAGAAATTTTAAGCACCCATACAGTAACCCACACACAGCCACTCCCAAACAAATCTCCACACTCACACACAAATTACACCAAACAAAGTGGCTGTCACTCCGCTGCCTTTGTGACGATGAAATGCATTCCTCAAAGCAACGATACCATCGTGAGCCGTCTTAGTCAGAGCGTGTTTGCAGTATCAACTCGGGGCCTTAGCATTTACGTCATGTGTGTTTGTGGAGAGAAAACTGCTAACACTTCAGGGAGGCATTGAAAGAAAAAAAAAAAAAAGAAGACAGCAGTGCTACGGCTCGCCAGTTGTGGAGACGACTGCCAATCATTGTCATCTTGAAAGCAAAATGTCCATTAGATCATTTCTAAATTATGAAACAGAACACCGGACATCAGGAGTGATCACAGACAATTATAACCATAGATGAGGGTTAAAAGGGGGTTAAAGTATCCACACGAGGTTTCCAGGATGGGTACAGGAAGAACAAAGGAGGGAAAGGTGCAGAAGAGATGACAAGTGTGGTAAAGGATGAGCCAGATTAGAAGATCGGAGAAGAAAAAAAGGTTCCTTCTGCGTAACGGCAGGGCAAGAAGTTAGGGGTCAGAAATAAGTGAACTGAAACTAGCAATTCTGTGTGGTTTAATATTCTTATGCAAATTCCTGTTTCATTTTAAATCCTCCAAGTATGACACTGAACATGTAGGGTACATGGACCATTCACAGAGTGTATGTGCCCTAGATCAGACTTTTGTACTGCATGTACTGCATGTTGTGTTTAGTCAGGCAAAGCCAGGCTGTTGTTTTGTGATCGTGTCTTCAGCGTTTGGATGCAGTACTGTGCTATAAACCTGCTTTTTTCTCCCAAGTTTGTTTAAAACAAATAAGTAAACATCTAAACGCTACCTAAGACTGTCTAAAGTCAAGCTGGTACTGACAAAATAAGTGCACATGCTGGAGTCATTTCCAGTATACCAGAAGCTTAATTTAAAAACTGGAACACTTTTTGACCCATTTCTGTGTAAAAGGAACATGCGCGCCTTGCTTAAAAGTAAAAGACTGGTCTATTTTTACATTTGCAGAGGAGAACTCAGTGGCATATGTGAACCACATACTGTATATTCTGCTCTTAAACCTCATACAGCAATGTTCACAGGTTAATGTGGCAGTAAATACATTGATACACTGTGAGTAGTACACTGGAAAAATTGCACACTAATGTTTATCTACATTAAAGTATGCTGATCCGCTGTAATGGCCAATTCTGATGCACATGCATGTTGGCCTCTGCAAACACCGTGGGTAACGAGTCAAGTGAGGAGTTGATTTCCCGTTTACAGGCTGTAACAGCGAGAGAGAACCGAGCCACAGCAATCAATGACCTAGCCTACTGTAATCAGTAATTACTGGACATTAGTGCATGAATATCAGCTGAACAGTATTAGGTTCTGATATTTGCCTGGTTCTTTATTCATTTGTAATCCTATTATAGTTTTTTTTCCCTAAGTTGTTTTTGAATAGATGGAAGTATAGCTAAAAGGAACAGTAGGTTAATAAGAGTTCTGAGCTAACTTAACTCCGGAGCCTCGTGGGGAGTCACCTTAGGCCAGGTGGGCTGCTGGGCTTGTAACACACTGGATGAAACCCTTATTAAACAATATTTAATATTCAACATGTTTTTTTTATGGAATTTCATATGCTGCCCAGCTGCTGCAGCATCTGCTCTGTGAATGGTCAGCATAGGTTACAGATTCAGCGTAGTAGGTGAAAACTATAGCGTTCTTAGAGGTGGAGGATTAAATAATTATACTTTTACTCTTGTTTGAAGTATGCACCTTGTTAAACTCAAGGGCTCTGTCTCAAAACTACAAGTACTGGCTCCGTTCTAAAAGTGTGTGCCTGACAGATCTGGAGCAACATCCCTGGAGTAACTCTGATGGAACTAAAGCACCCTGCTTCCATTACGTTTTCAGAGTATTCTCGTGACGCCGTACTTTGCAACGATCATCCCGGCCTGTCAATCAAGCGAGTGAGACCATTGCTGTGACTTGTGCCTGGTTTTTTCTGTCAATGAAATATAACTTTCTGTATACGCTGTCATTTTCTTTATGTGACATGGCAGCTGTTGCCGCTCAGAAGCTACTCAGCCTCTGTAGTTCCTAACAAGGTGCTGCTGTTGCCGTCATGTAAAATGCATTACCTCGTGTACACCAGAGCATTTTTAACAAGAAGTGCCTACATGACATCTGACTGCTGTTGAATAAAAATGATTTATGAATCGGCACCCACTGTGCCACAGAATAATAAGTTAGTGAAGGAAGGGAGTCTCAAATCTATTACACAGAAGGAAGAAAGGAGACCATAAGGGATGGAACAAAAAAAGAAGTGACATGGCAAAATGCATAAATAGCATGCTCACCATATACTGGACAGTAGAGCTGGACTTGCGTTTCTGTCCTCAGGCAATTGATGGATGGATTTATTGATGGATGAGCAGATGGTAGAAGAAGGAGGGATGGGGAGGAAAATAAAGTAACCAAAAAAACAACAAGTGAGTGTACTGTCAAAAAAAATGAAATTAAAAAACAAAGAGCAAAACAGAACTTGTCAGCATAGACCAAAAGCTGTACACTTTGATGGCAAGTGAAGAGAAGTTCCCATACAGCTTAGAAAAGGCAGAAGGAGGAGCAGCTCCTTCAAAGAAGTGAAAGGAGCAGTGGTTGAAGCGAAGGCCATCAGAGAGAGAAAATTAGAAGAGGAGTCAGCTCATGGAAGAGTCAGAAGGCAAAAATTCAACCTATTGCTTCGGGGACAGTGAAAGGGAAGATGGCACGGTAAGAAAATAGCATGACAAGGAACTGCAAGATTTATTATGTAAGCGTTTTCCCAGACTTCATCTTAAATTTAAAATCACAACTGGCTTGAATTTTGTTGTTACATGTTGCATTAATGCATCAATAATTTATCGGAGACCAAAATAAATGTTCTCAATGTTGTTATTTTACATTCATCTAAAACTGTTTTGCAGCTTTTAATCTAAAGAAATCTGCACATTGTGTATATAATAACTAGTGTAAACTTAATAAGGATAAACAGTGTGTCATATAACAACACTGTTTAAAATGCAGAATATGTTGGTTCCTCTGAGCAGTAGCTGGCGTCGAAGGAGGTGAAAGGTGGTGGGCAACCAGTGCCAGAGAGAGACCGCTTGCTTGCACTGGACAGGTGCTACAACTGAAAAGCGTCAGGTGTCATTAGGCATTAATGAGCCAGCGGGAGAAAAAGCAGGAAGAGGAGAAGACCATGAGAGGAGCTCAGAGTTTCAAAAGGAACAAAAGGACATTTGGAGATTATAAGAAGAAACAAGAGAAGAGGGAGAAAAAGGAGGCAAGCAGGGACGGCAGCAAATGAAGAAGACGCCTTTAGAAATGGTTTGGGGCGAGTGTGTGGGGAGCCTGTTGCTAGGCAATGAGTGCGCCGCAGTGGAAGTAAGCGTCTATTTCTGTCGTCTGAGTTTCCAGGGTCCAGACTGGCAGCTATTCCTGGAACCGGAGTCACATTCCCTGCTGAACCGACTGCGCAGGGAGGAACGGGAGGGGGGGACACATTCACGCACACACACTCACACCAAATCCATACATACACACACACGCATGGACACTTGATGCTGCGCATGAGTGTAACACACGCATGGACACCCACGCTTACGCACACTTGTGTACAGGCATGCTCACAGCCCCGTTTGCACGTTCAGTCTCTTTTCAAGCTGATAAACAAATGGGATGTTTTCACACAGACACACACACACACACACACAGTCTTACAAACACACACATACCTCCATGTCCACGTGCATGTGCCCAAACCTTTGCCTAATATAATGTATAATGCTGAGAAGCATGAATAGCACGTTGCATGTACGTGGCGCACACAGACACATTCATGATAGCTGTGTGTGGGATGTGCTACTGCAGCGTGTGCATGTGAGAGCGTGGGATGTGAGAGATCTTCATTAAATGGATGAACAGGAATGTGGGGTTAAAGACCAGATGGGGTGAGGAGGAAAAAGAAGCATTGAAAGAGGAGCAAAAGGCAGAAATGGAGGGATGAGAGAGAGGAAGTGATGAAAAAACAAAATGTGAAGGGCTGACAGATGGTTAGATTTAATAATGGAGATGGAGAGGTGGCACTGAGCTAAATAATGCTAAATCAAAATAAGAGGTCCTTTCAGGAGGATGCGCTACTCGAGGCTTGTGCACTGGCAAGTGGCATGAAGGCTGATACGCATAGCACACACAGACTCGCATACATGTAGACACACATCCAGATGTGTGTACAGATGTGTATTCAGAATGGGCCACTCACTTTAATAAAATAATTAGATAATAACTTAAAAATCCAGCAGCTCTCATTCTGATACACAACACCTCAAGCCAAAAAACACAACTTTTACATGTAACACTAGACAAACATCCAATGACAGAACATACATGACAAGAAAGACATTGTAGGCAAAAGTGAGACTAGCAAGATTAAGAAATAAATGAACAATCGAGCAGAAAAAAAATGGGGAAGAGGAAGAAGAAGCAGAGTTTCTAGCCCAGAAAATGTAAGGAAGGAGGAAAAGTCAAGGAAGGAGATAGGTAGAGAAGTAAGAGTGTGCCCCTTACCTTGACATCTGCCTTTTTGTTGAGCAAAGTCTTGGCTGCTGCAATGACAAACAGGGAAAAACAACCAGTTAAAGGTGTAGCTGAGCAATAGCAACTCCATGTTTCTCAGCGAGTCTTGGTATGAGCTACAACCTTAACCTACATTGAAGCCTTCAGAGATAATCTGGATTTGACTGAAATAATGTTCTTTACTGACCTTAGTAGTAATAGTCTATTTTGAGTAATGATAAGTAAAGGTTGCCTGAGGCTGAAAGAGAAAGGGAACCTTTTGCACACTGAACTTAAAAAAAAAAAAAAAGTGTTTTTTACAAAATGACTCAAAGCTAAACAACTACAACCTCCTGAATTTACTAGAGTCTACAGATGGATACAGTATGAGTATATTGATTCATCTATTAGTCAAACAACTTGCCTTGATCTTTCCCCCCCCCCCAATTTCATAACAGCATGTACCTGTAAAACTGAATTCTTTGACTGCCTGAAAAGTAAAGTTAAAACCAACCTTTCTTAATAAGGCTTACATAGAACTACAAATGCACAACAACTCAAAGATGTTTAATACTAATGTCAAGGTATTCAAACTGCAAAGTGGCAGGGTGAAAAGTTAAGCCAGTGCAAAAAAAACAGTACTTAAAGATGGTCATTGAGGCTGGCTTTAAATACCAGTCAATCCCCACTGACTCTTATGTTAAATGCCCACCATTATATTAGTCAACAATGTGCTTACAGCCTGGTAAAAAACAGTTTGGGTCTTTATGTATAGTTTCCCCCTTGACAGCAACTGTTTGATGGGAGGTTTTTGGGTTTTGTTTTTACTCATTCATTTGTTAAGGCTTCAGGGTTGGGGTGTGACCGCTTCGATGAACAGCTGAGTTGAACCAGGCGGCTGTAGCTGTAGTTCTATGCTTTTAAACAGCCACACAAATCTCACTGTCTCCATGGGAACAGTATTGCTCCCAAAGAGAAGTTGGCATATGAAGCGGAGGAGCCAGGGAATTGAACTACCAACCTTTCAATTATAAGCCAGCCCGCTGTAGTCCCCGAGCCACTCAAACAGGCTACAAGCAGACAGACTAGAAATTTTCCGAATATGGAATTTTCACATCAGTTTGTCTTAAGAATAGTTGGCACAAAGACGCTGTTGTCAGTGAAATAAAAATACTCTCCATTTGCATTGTTTCACATGAATTCTCAGGCTAAAGTCTCCCTGAAGCCATGAGGAAGTCAAAGTAAAGATGGCTGCCTCACACGGCAGCCATAAACCCAACAATAAGCCCTGCCTTAAAGAACTCCACAGAGGCTCAAAGGAGGATTAGTGTTCAGTCTGCTCTCTAATGAGGGGTAATGAACGAGGGGGTGAGGGAGGAAAGCAGGAAAGAAAGAACGATACTATAGAAAAAGTCCACTGATGAGCATAATACCCATAATCCTTTACAACAGTGGAAAGTGCGTGCAGTCAACAGAAGACAGTCCGCAGGGCATTTACTGTGACTGCACTGCTAATGCCCAGAAAGTAAGGTGGTCTGATTGCATTAGATAGCTACATGTTCACCCAGAGGCCTCCAAAGTAAGAGCCAGACTCTGGCTTGCTGGTCAGTGGAGCCTGTGGCTGCATCTGTGGGGATGTGGACAGAGGATTAGCACTAACACGACACCAGATGATGAGATTGGACGTGCAAATTAGTGCAATTCTACAGCTTTAAAGTTGGTACCAAAATGCACTTTCTTGCTTGTTGGTATTTTACAGCTGTAAACACCAACACAAGGATAGAAAAATGACTTCAGGAGAGCATAGTTATGACTTCTAGAGTTCTTATTTTGATCATCATTATTATTTTACAATAGGAACATTATTTTCTGTCTGCGATGTCTTAATTTACCAAAGTGAACACTTAACTCAGTTAATTTAATTACTCAATTACTTCTGAAGACAATAGCTAGAGCATGATATAGAAGGCACAAATCTACCTTCTCAAAAGGCAAATAAAATATATTTAAACACGCTTAAATTGGGTTGTTTTTGAAAAAAAAAAAAGATTCTCAGAAATATTGTTTTGCTTTAGTATAGATGTCAGTGCTATACATAGATCTCATACAGGTTACCTTGTACAAAGATGTTTACATTATCACTGCCATAATGTGCCTATCTTATAGTAAATAATCTAGCTGTGATCACCTGGGAGTTAAAAAGCCAGATTCCTCTCAGTGTTACTTCCATAGATGCTTGCTGTGACTTTTTGCTAAGAGCCTGAGTGCAGCTTCAAGTCTAATCAGATGCAATCACATCAGTATCCAGCCATGTTACATAAAACACTATTTATGGCAGTCTGGTTGTTTTTTCTTTTCTTTTTTCTTTTTCCCTCTTTCCTTCCCTCTCTCCCTCATTCCTCTTTCTCTGAACATCAACCTCCTGTTTGATTTCCCCACTTCCATTTCAAAACATGTACCAAAGCAGCTACACTGAGTGATCAGAAGCTTCAAGTCGATGAGAATTCGGACTATGTGCTGATTTCTTTGGGGGAGCAGAAGTCCAAACAGAGAGCGGTCACTTCAAAGACCACTGCAGGCCATGCCAAATTTAAACTGTATCCTTATAAGAGCACATTTGAAATAGCCATTAAGATAAAGATCAAGAGAGAAAAATACATGGAAGATAGGGTGTGCACACTACATTTTTTTTTTTCTTTTCTGCCTCAGTGATTCAGTATATTGTGCTTGAAGTGAGGTTTGCATATTCAGCAGCCAAAAAGGGAGCAATAGGAAGTGATAAATAAGCACTTTGTAATCTGGAGGGATGTGAGGATGGCATGAATGTGCATGTTTAATTGTTGTGCTGTTCTTCCTCAGTCTCCTTCCAAAGGCCGGTTGTTACTGAGGAGAAGAAATGGGGTCAGAAATAGTGTCAAGTTCATTCTCTCGTATTCTCTGATGGCTTAGCAGAGAATGAGAGGATATGAGAGCAGAGAGGAAGAGTAAGGAGAACATGAGTGGAAGTGATGAAGGTATTCAAATGTGCTTTCCAAAGTGACATTTTTCAGTCAAACTGGATCTTCCAAAAATGTCTTTAAGTTCCAGGCATAGCTGTGGAAATCTGAAAAGAGCCAACATTAGCTTAGTTCAACCCAAAGGTTTAGAAGCAAGGGGTGCTCCTTACCTTGCCACAAATTACACATGAAGCAAGAAGAGAGAGGAGGAAGAGATTAAATCAAAGGCATCACTAATAAATTTCTATTAAAATCATGCAAGATGGACCACTGCAAGAACAAAGCAGGGATGGGCATTGATTCACATGAAGTCCCACATAACGGAATAAGCTAATGGAGAGATATGCCTATAATGAAGAGCCCCTCAATATCTTCTTCATATAACACAGTCCAGGACAGATTAAAAGACTGTCCGCTGCTGTCCTGCAGGATGTTGGAGTGAGTTTGAGTAGATTTTACTTGTACTTTTAATGTATGAATACGTGTAAAAGAACAAGGCCTCTAGTAATCCAGTGAGGCAAAGTGAGGCTGATATGGAGAGGCAGTCCACTATAAATATTTGATCGGAGTCTCGTGGAGGCTGAGGGACACAGAGAGGACGGTGGTGTCCCAGTAGATTATAGAAACAAGGACACAGCCACTGTTTCTGTCTCCTTAGCTCAATGCTAGATTGTCACATGAAGTTCTTTGCTGTTCATAAACGGGCACCCTACTAAGCAAATGTACAGTGATAAGAAGCTTATGAGCATTCCCCGATGCACAATGGCATCAAGGAACGATACGGTAAAAAATTTAGGTGATCTGTGGTCTGTGAAGGGAGGCTTTTAAGCTTACATTTCAATTTAACAGACTTAACATCTTTTAAATAAAAGAGGAAGTAAGATAGACATTTTTCTTGAAGTGGTTGCTGAAGCTACAAGCTAAGTTACATTTGTCAGGAGGGAAGATATAAAGCTCATAGCAGTTGCTTAGGTTGTTGTGCGTCAGCTGGATGTGCAGCTGTTTGGCAGCTAGGTCAACCTGAACCACTTGATACAGCCATTGCAGAGTTTTATCATTTTCTTGTCTTAATATGTTTAGACAGACGATGTCTTTTTTTGTCTTGCCTTGCATAACTTCTTAAAACATGACCACTGTGTTGATTCACCACATAGTGGGCTTGAAATAGGTTATGGTGAGTGTTCTGTGGTCTGATGTGGGGGAAAAAATACCACAGCACACCTGAGAACAAACCAATATATGGTTGAGTTGTGACTGAGTTAAAGGAGCCACAAGTTAATGCCTGAGTCAAGGCCACATGTAGACCAAAGCATCATGCAAGCATGTGCCAAGGTTAGGCCAAACAATTACTGCTATCTGGTCTAAACTATCCAGAAATGCATGTGCCAACTGCAATCTGGGAACCCGTGAATTTAGCCTTGTAAAGTTTTTGGAGTTTTTCTTAGTCAGGATACCTGGATAGGGCAGATGTAGATGGTTCAAGATTTCTTGTTTTTGGATTCTGGAAAATACTTCTTGCTCTCAACGTGGACTGTTATGTACAGGCAACTAAATATTGCTCAAATGTGATTGGTTAGTTTACAGGACTACAAATAGGCATTTTTTTTGGAAAGCACTTTTCAGTTTCACCACTGAAAAATTAAGCTGAAGTTAACAGACTTTAATTAGATCTGGTTGTCTAAAACAAAGCCTTACATTCAGTCTGAAAAGTAAAACAACAAGGCTCCAACATTTACAATTAAAACATTGGTCCAACGACCAATGACTACATGTTACAGCAATACAGCTACATACGAAACTGGACTGTAAAACCTACAGCTCAGTTCACAACACAATTACTGAATAAGTACTAATATGGGACTTATCTTAAAAAAAACAACAACAACTTTAAAAGGCTTCGACTTCATGAAAACAAGCCCAGCCTTGCATCATTTACAGTGTTCATCATGCACCAGAGTCCCCTTGTGTTGCAGCGCATGCACCAGTCCAGTGCCCCATGCAGCATTCACCGACAGCTCTCAGGCAGTTCCATCCTTAAAGTTACAGGGGTGAACTTTCCAGTGTCATTGTCAGACAGAGAAAAGAAGAGAAAGGGAAAGAAGAGTGAGGAGTGAGGGGAAAGGTAAGATGTGACATTTGAGGAAACAGGGAAAGTGGGAGTGAAACTGGTGAAGTTGTGGAAAAGTATTGGATGACTCAAGAATCAACAATGTCCAGAGAAGTAAAAATGCCAGAATACAGAAAAAGGGAATGGGGTAAAACTGAGTGATGACAGAGATGGCACAACTGAGATGGCAGGAAAAGAGTGGAGAAAAAAAGAGAAACTGAGAGACAGGACAGCAGTGCGTTTGGGCCATGCTCGGTGACTCTGTGCAGAGATGAAGATAATACGATGAACAGGGGTGTGTGGTAATGACAGAGCAGTGATGGGCTCTGAAGCAACTATCAAATCCCAGACAGGAGATGAGAGATGTGCTGACATAGTAAATGACAGCAATAGCTGGGCTTCCACTCTTTAGGTCCTTTTCAAATTTAACAGCCTAAACATAGATTGAAAAAGACGGAAGCTGTAATATTTAGTTATCTTGCGGAAATTAATTTCTGGTTTTCTCATTAAACAAAAATGTTTTCAGTCTTTCTTACCAAATTAAATTTAAAGTTAGTGGTGTTTTTAACATCAAGAAGAGACATATGTATAAACCAATAGATCAGATCACCATTAATACTTCCCAGTTACATTAAAAGAAACTTGCATTAAAACATTAAATAGGCCTTATATTCATTCTTTTTAAGCTTTTTAACATACTTGGAGTAGACAGAGTTAGTCATAATGTTAGACTATTTATTTTATTTCTTACGTGTTTTCACTACCAGCAGACACAGAATGTGTGAGTTTTTACAGTGGGAGAGAACGTATGTGTTTGTTTTAATATTACTCTGCTTGTTGTTCTTGTGTCAGTGCATTTTTAATGATATTTTTAAATATGCATTAATATGATTCTATGTTATGTGTTTGAGGATCCTCTAGAAAAGGATATGGGGCATCAAAAGGGCTCGCCAATTAAACTTTTATAACTAAAAATCTTAACATTGTATGTAAGTAAAAATCCTTGTTTTATTAATTAATTTAGCTTAAATTAAAAGTTGGGTAACTTTCTTTTACATTGGGGAAAAAAGCATTTAGTGCATATTGACTGTAAATTGTTTTTAAAGATGTCACGTTTGGTGTCATATGGAAACATTTGGTGTTGTCAGTGCTACTACAGTTTGTAAAATTCCAGTCATTTTTATAAGAATATATTGTTATGTGTAAAAATATATCATTATTGCTATACAGCTTCTTCAGCTTATTTTTAAAGTGACAGGATTTTTTAAATGTACTGCAATCTTTTGAAAATAGAATATGCAAATATTGTATCTGTAATTAAAAATCTATTAAATAGTCACTAATTTGTATAAATGTCCAATAACAGGTTATCAAAAAGAACCTAAATGAGTATTTTAAAGACATGTTTTAGAAGCAAAACTCTTTCACATTAAAAATTATTAACATAATAGACGTGAAAAGGAAAAAGCTTAAATTTCTTTCATTTGTCGTATGTAAAACACGGTAATAGTTAGCTGGAAGCATAGCTAATACTGCAGCTGTTGAGATGAGGGGAGGTGTAGTTAGCAATGTTGTCAGCCATCATGCTCTGAACTCCCATGCTCGGAAAGGAGGGAGGGGTAGCAGAGAAGATTGAGTAAAGGGAAAACAGAAGAAGAAGAAGTTCAAAGAGTCAAAGACAGGTGCAGACAAGGGGCAGGGTGGGAGGGGTGGCATGCCCTGGGTGAGCCACCGTGATACCTTGTTCCACCAGCCCTGCTGTGGTGCCGGCGGCTGCAGCCACAGCTGCTGCAGCTGCAGTGACAGAGGCTGGAGCGGTGGTCTGCCTGCTGCCCACTGTTAAGAGTCAAATACCCAGTCACACGTGAAGAAAGAGTTACAAAGCCAGGAGGAAAGGAATGTGAGAAAAGGTGAAAGAGGAACAAGGGGTCAAGATGGAGAAAGGGTGGAGTGATATTTAGTAAGAAGGTGATTGACGAGGAGTCGGATACAACAGGAGGTAGGCAGGTAGGGTGGGGGAAGGAAATAACAGGTGAGGAACAAAAGGGGCGGAGACACACGGGGGCTCATTAGTTTAGAAGGAGGATTAATTTATATACACAGACCACTGAAAGCATTTTTATAAATGGAGTCGCTGCTTTGACAGAAGAATCCACAGAAAAACATCAGGCAGTGACACAAATCTTTACTTCCATGTGGGACACTTTAAATCTTGCCATTTGTCTCAAAGAATACCTGAGAAGAGTGTTAATGTTAGGATGATGATGGCAATGATGATGCAGAATCAAGCCGCAGTTAGTATGTGTTAGATTTGTAGCGTCTGTGCTTTTAAAACTAAACTAAAAAAACATCATCTTTTCCTGACAGCATCTTTATTTGGTACGTTACACATTGAAATGTGATGAGAAATTGAACCACCTCTGTACCAGCACAGACACTGAAACTGATTTGTGTAACACATGATTCATAATATATGCTGAAAATACAGCAAGCCATTGCATAAAGCACTGACGTTGGATCCTGCCTTGATGTAATGTGCCACAGCTATCTTTCTCTGAAAGCCTATCTCTCACTTTTTACTTTTTTAACTCTGTCTCGTTTTCTCTCTGACTCATTCACCTGCTGACCTACTCTTATATTTGAGTTCTGCTTTCTCACAAGAGGAAAAATGGTAGGAAAAAAGGTCTCTGAGAGCGGTCGCACAGGCAGGCCACACACCTGGGTCAATGTGTGTATGTGTGGGGGGGATTTAAGAATTGACTGATTGTTTAGTGGATATTCAGACTGCTTCCCATGCCGATGCTTGCAGTGTTAAATCAGCTGCTGTGAGTCATGTTTACTAAAGCAGCATGCTTATAGACAGACGTATACACACATTTATATATGCAAAATACACATTTGTACAAGAATGAAGACTCAGTGGGTATAATTCTTCCAAAGCGATTACCCTGAATGCATAAAAGCACTATAATGTTCTTCCATACACAGTAAATGACAAAATATTTTGTCATTGTACAGTAGATGAGCTCCCGTTTCATAGACCACAACAGTGCCAATAAAAATCAACCTAGTAAGTTCCTATTTAACCATCTACTGCATTTAATACATCATAGGTAAAAAAGAAAATTCTCAGTTTAAAAAAATTTATATCCCAAAGTTTGGGAGGGGAAGAGGGAGTGCTGAAGTACACCATGTTGCTTGAATTAAAGCACAGATTCAAGATCATGTAAAACTTCAATAAAGTTATTATTACAGAGATATAAACAAATACAAAGACAAGTACACAGACATCAACAGCTTGCGGATCAATTCAGTGTTTCCCCACATTTTGTTGTTCCAGTTCAGCGTGGTGCAAAAGACACACACAGAATGACTGAATCATTTTCCAACTATTGTTGCTGTACTTTAAGATTCTGCTGTGGGTGATTCACTTCCTGTAGCTGAAAAACTGTCATTAAGTGTTAATGTAATGTCAGGTTGAAATGGTCTTAGGTGTTGTACCTCATATTTACAGAGTGTGAAAATATTCTCAGGACATCGGGACGTGAGAGCAGCGAAGAAACAATGTGCAGCTGTTTTTATTAGACTAAATGTGGTTTTAAAATGTGAAATTATTGGAAAAATATCACATAAAAACAGCTCTTTTCATAAAAACATCCTGCATTACATGTTAACAGCTACATACACAAGAAAACCAAGGGAAACACTGAAGCTGCATCGAAATGAAATGGAAATGTGAATCTGAAAGCATGCTCTTTAATCTTTATGTAAAATATAACTCTTGAGAAAGAGACAAATGAGTCTGTCATTAAATATTTACATTTACCTGTGCTTACCAGGTGCATGCCACCATTTTTTTAAACATCAAAAGCCTCATTTTACCTGCTTTGCTTTTCTCACTGTAAGAAATAAAAACTGAGTTTCCCACAGAAATACCTTACTCGAGTGGGCTGCACTGACATAAAATAACAACTAGCAATGTGTTTTCTTTTTCACCTGTCCGGGAGAATGACACCAGCTGCCAATTTACTAGTGGACAATCTTTTCACACTTCCTTTCACAGTTTAAAAGTTTGTCATTGCTAACCAGATACTAATGGCTTTAGCCTGTCTCATATTTCCATACCGGCAGGCTGACCAGGTCACTGATGTGGCAGCCCTTGATATTGTTAAGCTACCTCTTCAGAGGTTTTTCTCCTGGAAACAGACTCCAACTCCACCGACATATATCCACTCCAGGGATCTGCTGTTAATGTAGGGTCACTCTAACCAGAACCCAAAGTGAGTAGAGTAGTTCACGTGCCACTACATTGCAGTTCGTCAGTGCTGCAGAGCAAAACTACAGCTACGCTCGCCAAATACAGTTTAAGGTGGAGTTTTTTCACAGACAGAATGTAATTCTGTGGGAAACACAGTAATTTGTTTGTGGCTGAAAAGATGTGTGGTGGAAGGCACCAGAGATCAATAGTGAATACACAGGATAAGTCAAGTTCTTAGGTGGAGTATTTTTTTAAAGAATGAGTCCTCCAACATAGTGGCATGTCCCAAACAGACTGTAACAAGTTTGCATTTAAAATTGCTTCTAGAAATTTTAATACCGGCAGGTGTTGGTTCACAGATATGAATGGTAGGTTTACAAAAATGGAGGATTCAAGAAGCACTTACCGGAGAAATTTCGAGAAACCAGCATGGTAGTAAGAATGGCCCCCTGAGAAGAAAACAAAAGGACATAAACTTAATGATTTTGGTATTTTTAGGGAAATTAAAACCCATTTTTCCCCTCTTCTGCTAGCAATTGATTTGCCACAGCCATCATTTAACCAACATTCAGGTGATTAAAGTGTTATATTTGCCGCTTGAATCAATAAAATTGTCTTCATTTGGAACAATCCTGATTTGCAGCAGGTGAAAGTCATACTGGAAGCTTTCAGTGCTACCCCTCAGCCTCCTGTCTCTCAAAATTAGGTGTCTACACCACCCGCCCAGCAGGGTGACAATAATACCCCATTAGTCTTTTACAGCTGAGGGGTAAAAGTCAATTGAAAGATGCCACTATTCGTGTTTGATTTATAAATGATTTCTTAAATGTGGGGTGTAAAATACACACAGTAATTTATTACCAATAAAGATATAACCCCAAATTAAGATTCAAATTATAGAGAGAGAAAAAAAAAAAAACTTTCTTCCACAATAACAAAGAATACCAAGCTGCACATATAACCCACTCAGACCTACTCACATCTAAAGCGCTGACAACAAGGCCAGGCTATGAAAATCAACAGCAAAAAAAACTACTTGATAAAATGCAGCATGACTGCAAAGTGAGTCCGTATAATAGCCTGGCACACGAAAATGTTCTGCAGTATTGTCCTAGTCAAACAAAAATGTGTGAGATACAAAGACAGGAGACAAAGGACAAGCAAAAAAACAGAAGAGAGAAAAAACAAAGAACAATGAGGAAAGCAGCTCGTCTTAGCACTTTTTTTTCTCTGGAGAAATCATCTCAAACTGGAGGCGAAAACTTTTCAAAAATGGTTTGGAATTTCAAACAGACGATGGGATGATGATATGCCTAATATCAGAATAGATAACACATCTCTCGCTCCCTGTAATCAGAGCGAATAGAGTGGCAGTAACGAATGTCTAAAAGGTCAGAAATAGATATGAAGTCCACATCTGAAACATCCAGCTCAAATTCAGAATTAAAGAGAAAAGAACAGGCAGTAAATGTCTAGGAGATTTTTGCATCTCTAAATGATTTTATGCAACATATTACAAAAAATTAAAGCTACACTGGAGTTAAATCAAGAAAAAAAAGACTTAAAAAACAAAGTACACACAAAAAAGCTTGAAAATAAACAGCCCTCCTCTTGATGCTCTCCACTCTCTCACTCTCAGTTTTTTAGCCCCTCACCAGACAATGCACACTAAAAAGAAGTCAATTTTGAATTTTGGCTTGACACACAATTTAAAACCCACTCTCTCAGCTTGAAATGCATCAGCTTTGGGCCTCCCTTCTTATTTCCTGTGTGGACTTGTTAAATCTGGATATCAACTCTTTGCGATTGGCCTCCTGTCATGGACTAGAGTTTCTAAAAGCTAAAAACAGTAGATTGGTTTGACTTGAGACGGCAAAAATTAAGTGTGCAGAAAGGTTATTGTAGATTTTTTCTATTGACCACTAACACATAAAACATGTCCCTGCTTTAGGAAGTATCCAGAAGACCATAAGTTAATGATAGTATGCTAAATTTTAGCATAAACCTGGAATTGGATTTATTCAATTAAAATTTGTTATTGTGTTCGTTTTTATTTAAATGCACTAAATCACAGATTGATTGTCTGTATATTTTGTCCTCTTTTCATACTGTGCATGCTTTGATTTTCTTATAGTTTTTGTTGTGGTTTGCAGTTTCTGTTCACTATGTAGCAAAACATCTAACCTTGCCACTTGACTTTAAATGTGAAAAGCCTGAGACAATTGTTTGACGCTGTTGGCATGTTAGTTGAATGGTGCAACATTTGCCTGCAGCCACCTGCACTTCAGCTTGCCATGTGCTGGTATTTAAGCCATGCCAAGAGTGGCCAAAAGCAGCAGGGTAACAGTGTCATGCTCCAATGGCTAAGCTGTTACGTCCACACAAAATCTAAGCAATAAATCAGTGTAAAAGGGAAACCATGCATAACACTGAATCTAAATTTGAAATGACTTTGCATATGTAAATATCATATAGATGAAGCAAATGCTATATTTTATACTGCAGGCCAATTAAACCCACTTATGTTTTCTTGAATCACTTTGGTAAACCCTAAAGTAATGAGGTAATAAAAGTGAGTGAGGACAGCAGCAGAAGGACTGCGAGCTTATTAGAGCAGAAGGGGAAGAAGTGTAATAGGGTGAGTATGTGAACAGACCTTGAGTTTCCTCCTGGCATTGAATTTCTTCAGGCACTCCACGGTCTCCTGTCTGTGCATCATAGATGCCACTGTGGATCGTTGCTGAGAAAAGGAAGAAGAGACGGAAGAAGAGGAGTGGGGTGGGTAGAGGAAGAGGGTGACAAATACAGAATTATATTTAGGGAGAAGAAAAAGATAAAAAGAACATTGTCTGCCTTCTTTAGATTTGCATTTAAGGCACCCAGTAGTGTACTCCAGATGTGTACAAATAAGTTTTGTCTGCTTGTCTATCAAGCAGAGGACACTTACGCAGACCCATGGGTGCTTGAGGGCCTCTTGAGCAGTGATCCTCTTGGCTGGGTTGATCGTCAGCATCTGGTTGATCAGGTTTTTGGCCTCTGGGGTGACTGTGTCCCACTCTGGGGATGGGAACTAGAGGCAGAGAAAACATAAAGCTCACATTCACAGAGAGGATATAGAATGTCCTTAGATAGTCTTTAAATGGATTAAAACATATTTTCATATTACACCTGCTGCCTATCTTCATCTAAACACCTCACATAAGGGGAGCAAAATTATCCTTCATAATCACCATCTGAAAATTAACACATATCTGTGTTTACCTCTATTTATCCAATTGGCTCTCTAAGTTACCATATCGTTAGCACTGTAGGCTGCTTTGCAACCCACCTCTACCCCAGCTCCTTCTTTTCTTCCCCTTTCTGTCTTAATAAGTGCCGTTATTGATGCCTGCTCTGTTCTATGCTGTCTTTCTGCTGCTCACCTCAGCTCAGGCTCATCTTCTTTAAACATTTAGTGGTTCTGACTACCTTCTCATTTCCAGCTGTTTATGGCAATCTTACATCCTTCCTAAATCTATGCTGCAGTCAGTAGATTTTAAATAGCAAATCTAACTATGCCTTGGCCTTTTATCATGACTTTATGTAGTTATTTTCTTTGATGTTATGTCTCTGTAAGTATTTCACCTGTACCATGTACAAATCTTCTAATTTTCAGGCATGCTTTTTACAGTGTGACTACAAAATTTAATGCATGTAGATGAACCAACGTTCGTTCTCTCGTTTGACAGAGTGAACGTGTGTTTGCTGTACTGCTTAGATGTGTAGCTCAAAAATTTGAATATACTGAAAAAGTGCAGTTTCTTCATTATTAAATAAAAAAAACCTCATTTCCATAAATACGACACTCAATAAAAAAGTGAAATATTTCAACCCTTCTTTGTTTCCATTCTGATGGTTACAGTTTATAGGTCGTGAATAACAGAAAACCAGTAAAACAAACAAATAAGTAAAAGTAAATAAATAAAAATATATAAAAAAATAAAACACAGTAAACATTTCATTAAGATAAAAATAAATAAATAAATAAAAAATGTACAATTTAATTAGTTAACTGATATACTCAAATATATGCCAGGTCCTGCTGAATAAGAAAACCAGCATCTCCATGAAGCTTGTCAGCAGATGGAAGATTTTCAAACAAAATGCTAAATTTACTTTTATCTGAAATTAGGACTTTAGACGACTGAGCAACAGCCCGGTTCTTCTTCTCTTTAACCCAGGTAAGATACTTCTGGTTCAGAAGAGACTTGATATAAGAAATGTGACCGCTGTAGCTCTTTTTTCGAGGACGTGTGTGTGGTGGCTCTTGATGCACTATCATCAGCCTCTTTGTGAAGTTCTCCCAAGTTGTTGAATTGACTTTACGTGAAAATCCTCAAGGCTACGGTCATCCTTGTGCACCTTTTCCTACCACACTTTTCTGTTCCAGTCAACCTCCCACTAAAATGCTTCAACACAGCACTGTGAACATCCAGACTGTTCAGCAATGAAACTTCTGTGGCTTACCCTCCTTGCAGTGCATCTAGAATATATTACAATTCTGAAATGCAACTTTGTATGTAACACACCCTGATGTGTTAAAATAGCAGCTTTACTTAGAGCTTACATGTCTTTGTTGGAAATCTGCAGAGCAGAGAAACACAGAGGGACTAACAAACAACCCAGCTCCCTGACCACACATGACCTCAGGATGTTGCCAGTAGATGTCCATCCAACATTACAGCCACTCAGGCTCCCTGCGGATGTGTTGTTTAACGATACCAAAAGGCCAGTCCAACACAGCCCCAAGCAATTTGTTAAGAAATTCTCAACCCATCAGGTCCCGTTGTGTTTAGGCATAAACACTGTGTCCTATGAGCCCAGAATCACTGCCAGACTCAGGAAGACTCTCTCTCTCTCTCTCTCACTATCTCTGTCTGACATGGAGCTCAATCTGATCTCCATGCCATGTGTTCTAAGGTGAGGCTCATTCCCTTGCACCCCCTGAAATATGAATGAGGTGACTGAGTTATGTAATAGCAGCCAAAAAGGAAAGAGGGCAGTGGGAGGGGAGGGGAGGGCATTACAGCAGGAAGGGAGAAATGAGAGAGCGGGAGAGGAGACTCACATCATAAGCCCCAGCCTTGATCTGCTGGTACAGCTTGTGCTGGTCCTCGTCCCAGAAAGGAGGGTAGCCCACCAGCAGGATGTAGAGGATCACCCCTGAGACACACACAAAAACACATGGACAAACAAGTACACAGACATACACACAAACACACAAAATGCACATTTTGTTAGAAACTGGATTTCAGACAGTTTGTTTCTCAGTTTTTATCATCTAGGAAATACCATATGTGCCTTGTGTATATTTCTCACCACAGGCCCAGATGTCCACAGGTTTGCCATATGCCTCCTTCCTCAAAACCTCAGGGGACAGATACCCCGGTGTGCCAGCAAATCCTGCAGAAAAAAAAAAAAACCCAAACAATTGATTGACATGCTCAAGGCAATAGACTGTGTTGGTGCTATCTGTGGATCAGCTTAT